CCCCATTAGATATCCTTAGCTAAAAAAAAACGCTGACGTAAACGCAAAACCTTTCCGTACTTCGGATCGTTCAAGCTGACTTTTCCCTTAGCACAATGTACGTTAAAGTTCAGACGAAGTAGTCGTGACAACCATGGCGATGTAAATTTTCGTTGAAACAAGTGCAGGAACTTCAAAATTTTGAACCTGGGATTAGTTTGCTGTCGTTCCGAACGAATACCTTGGCGAGGTCTTTCACTCTGGAATGGCAAAGGCACGGCGAAAATGAGTTTTCGCTGTTTCTAGGTCCTTGGAAAACCTTTCCTAAACACGGCACCGAAGACTGTAAGGGCTCTCCAGCTCCAGCACGTCTGGGAGAGGCCGATGACTTCTTCCTCCGGATGCCGCGGAACCGGTCCTTTGTTTCCAAGGTGGGATAGAGGGTGAAAGGCACGAAGCAGACGACGCAGACATTGTCAACTGAAAGGCAAAACTCGCCTAAAAAAGCTAAGTGTCACCAGAGGAAGCAATCTCGTCTTTCACATGCTTTTTATATCCCGCCAGTTACAAAACAATGCGAGTTTTTGCAGTTTTTGCAGAATTACCAGAACGAACGTCGGCCCGTTATTTTGAGCTCTGTAACGTTTCTCCGTTACCCGATAACGTCTTTTGTCACGGCTGGGAGTGAGTACCATAAAAGTTAGCGTTATCGTACTTTTGCTAAGGATCTCTAATATCTATCAATCCGCCGAGTAACTAAATGCAGGTCTAGGGTGTCGGGTTTGCCGTTTGACATAGTGGCTGCAGTGAAGCTTGCGCATCTTCGTAAATGATCCTTAGTCAACAAACATTTTTCTTTTTCGCTATACAAAAGTTAGCAATGGACTAGGCTGAATCAAGCTGTAACTCGGAGTTTCATGGCCATCCGTCAATCGCCAGACCACAATGATGATAAGTCTCTTATTGGCGGCGATGGTGCCATCGTGAGAATAATGAATTCAAAGTCTGCCTAGTTCCATTGCAAACTTGTGTTCAGGGCCCTGCCCTCGTGGCATTCTGCACTTTTTGCAAGGGTTTAGCAACATGATAATTATGTTATCTTGTGTTCCTTTCACTCTTGGTAAAAACTCTAGGTTGAAGGTGTGCCCGATCTCTCATGTATTCCACGCTCACTGTGTACCCGCACAGCATATCCACACCAGTCTATGTTCAGATAAACCAGACATAGTACACTGTATTGTGTGGGTGTATAGAGTCTAGCCGTGGAATTTGTCCGCTCAGAGAGAATACGGCTGCAACCATTTAAAAAGCAATAAGATCGAAAGATCCGTACTGTGTTGCTAGACCCTATATGTCTAACCCATGCTTCCCGCCAAATATGGCACCTGAGTCACTCAGGACTGCCACTGCCCTACCGAGCACACTATGAACACGTCAAATCTTCAACTTTAGACCATTCAATCGTAGTTTTATTGAGTACTAGTAATCTATACCGGTTGTCGTTACCGGTGGCCGTTTCAGAACCAATAAAACGTACAGTCAACTTCGCTAATATTGACTGCGGATATAACGACAATTCGCGAATAACGACAGAATTTCCATGCCCAGAGCAAAGTCCCATCCAACTGTAACACATATAATGAGACTTCGAGTATAGCAACATTTTGCGAATAAGGACACTTTTCTGATGCCCGGCCGAGTGTCGTTATACGCAAAGTTGACTGTAGTTATAAAGAACATCCGTGAGATATGAATATAATCGAGTACTGTAACCTCCATAATGTTAACGACGGGGAAATGTTCGCTATTAATCTTGTGCAAGAAGGGCATAACGTGAAATCAAACCTCCGCAGTGGCCACTGAATGTATGTGTGCGCCACAGTGCTATCCGAACATTTGCCATCGTAAACTCGCTTTGCTGTGAGAAATCACGAAGATTTAGTGACGCGAATATTGCACGGTATCCGTATGCATATCACTGCTTATCACTCTCTTATTATTGACCGCCACAGAAACTTGTGATCTCTAAGCGGTCAAATATCAGCATAATATTGACCGCTTAGGGGCCATCCGTAAATATAGATATTTATTTAGAAACGAAAACTAATTGTTTAGGGGGAAGGGGGTTGAGCGCCTGTTTGTTTCTCGAAAAATATCGATGTACATTTTGCATGCACGAGCATGTCTAGAAAAAGATCAAAAATATCGATACTATTATACCATTTGAACGTGTTCGTTTCTCCGGGAGGGGGAGGGGGGTTGATGAGAAACGATTAATTTTCGTTTCTAAATAGATATCGTAAGGCCCCTTATATTAGTGAGGTTCTGCCACACGGTAAAACATGCCAAAGTGCGTATGGAAACCTCGGCGTGGTACGGAATCAAGTTTCATACGGATTTTTTCATACCGTTTTCTTCACACGGACTGGACTCTGTGTGAAAACTGAGCGTACAGAGTACATGTGGCGGGGAGTTCGAGCATGCTACGAGCATGCTACGTACAGCAGAACCGGTGCAACGTACAAAAAATCCGTGTCAAACTTCACTGCAGTTGACACGGAGTTTGGTACGTAGTTCCGTGTAGCAGAATCTGTCTATGGACCACTTAGCCCGAGGACTTAGAACTTTTTCCTCAACTTAGAAAAAAAATTAGAACTGAGAGAAGAAAAATCTGAAGCCAAATGCTGGGATTTGAACCCAAACTATCAGATTCTCAGTCAAAGAACTTAGGAAACATACTACAAGTGACAAGTGAAAACTTCTGTTTACAGAGAAGTAATGTCCAATGTAAACAGCATATGTACATACTGTGTATTAATACAATAGTATAGAGGACTTTCCAATGAGTCATACCGTGCGGCCTATGAGGATTCGGGCCAAAGATCATCGAGTTCACCACCGATCACCGGACTTGAAACGGAGCTTGGGTGGCAAAAAAAGAAGACTGCACTGGAAAGAAACAGTGTTTTTCGAAAGAAGTTCCATTTTGCATACTGTAGTTTGAGAATACCAAAGGGCTGCTCGCGATCGGATGTTCCCACACCTGGATTGTCTTTGAGTTGTTATCGTTTTCCCTACGATGGAGAACGACGGAACCAGTGGATGACGGACACACGACTCGAGAACTTCGCTCCTTATGCAAATACTTCGAAGTACACGAATATTGTTCCATCACTTCGTTGGCGAAGAGAAAAGTCATGATCATCCCTGTCACCCCAATACGTATCGAATTAACTAACTAACTTGTTCAGCTCATTTGTAGCAGCACCAGTAAAGGCGGAAACACGAACATGATTCCGAACACTATCAACTTACTTAGTTTGTTGGGGTGCAAGGTATAGCTGGAGTTTGATGATTGATAGTGCTGATGCTGATGGTAATGACCAATGTACCCAGCTCTATTATGCACGTGCCTCTACATGACTGGTGGTGCTAGCTATAGTCTAGTACTGGCCCTGGGTGCAACTCCGGCATTATCTCTTCCATGCGAGTGTGTATGCTTCATGTTCTGCACAATGTGTATTTCCTTTGTCATGGATAAATACTCTGATCGACCTACTTGCGCAATCTTCTTCTGCTTCCCACTTGGTTGCTGCGCTGTGCAGTTCTTCATCTGCTGCGGCACATACTAGTATACTTCATCTTCTGTTTTTCTGGACAATTAGGTACATGTATTCAGCTTCTTGATCTTCTTGTGGTGAGGATCATCTTGATCTTACTTCTTGTGTAACTCTTGCAAAGGCAGTAATGGAGGACACTCTACCGGTATACGCGGTAATCAGCAACTGCTTATGGAGAATGCCAGGTCGAGGGACGACCAAGAAAAAAACAATTGCTGTATTGGATGTGCATTCATCAGCGTGTTTTAAGATCAGGACAACTAAGTTCGCCACTACACCAGCTTTTTTGGCTACATAGGAGCAATGATGATGATGGCCGTGTTTGACTTTGTCAGCTTTCGTGCTACCAGCCACCACATGTCAACATTGTCATACTCGTACTGATAAGGAAGAAAAACCCACACACGCACGCACCCGTACACACGTACACACACACACACACACACACATGGATACACTGACAGGCATGCAAAGCAAGAGAGACAGAGAGAGAGTCAGGCAGCGAAAGAGAAGTGAGACTACTTGTAGGTTATGGGCACGGTGCTCCAATTTCTGCCCAGCTGAAGTAAAATCCATGTACACTATTTTCGTGTAGTGTTCATTGACGGTGCCAGCCACTGGTGACCCAGTGGTGTAGGTGTTGACATTCAGCACACATCACATTTCAGTCTCCAGCGTGAATTCAGTCAAAACAACACTGCACTGCAGCAACATGGGAGCATGCTTCTCCCAGGCCCACCATGCAAGTGCAGTGTGCGCCAGGAACAATTCCAGGCAATTCAGCAGCTACCCAAGGATGGACAGGTTCGGCAAAAACACTCCGCGAGTGCCTGACGTTTGGAAACGAATTTTGTTGACATTTGTTGTTTCTTCCTTCGATTGGGCAAGACACGATAATGTGCCAACCCAGCCAGCAATGAGACACATGCATTTGTATCCATCAGGGCTATTGTAAGCCTCTAGAGAGTCTTTCGCATATGTGCTGGGGACATTCACTAAACATTTAGAGAGGCCTGGATACCCAACGCAGGGGGATTGGCTGAAAGGTCTTCGTCCAGAGGTAAATATGGATCAATGTACTGGGCCCACGGATTCTGTCAATCTTTTCGCGGAAACGCCTCTTCAAGGCTGGAATAAACAGTAGAGTAACTGCGGCTAGTAATCCTCGCGACTTACCGAAACTATTCACCACATCAAAGAAAAGCAAAAGTGCTTCACCACTGCACTGCGACGGCCTGCAACATCATTTTCAACCGTACACCGAACAACACATTTGAATCTCTTTTTTCCACCCAAGCACATTTTACCGTAGGACACGGACTTGTCTTATGGGTGATCTTTGGGTGGACACCGGGAAGGCGCCAAAAAGGTGATGTAATGGAAAGTCCTCTATTCCTTTCTTCCTTTAACAAAGCAAAAAACAGTTTCTGACGTATGCTATGTCGTGATAAATATATTATTGTCCTCATAATCGGTCAATATAGTACAAATGCTATACTAAAAAGGTTAAAATAGCTCCTAAAGGTTCAAATTTTGGGGTTATGGCAAAGGAATCGTGATAAATAGGATATTGACGTCGACTTCGGTCTATATGGGAAATATAGACCTCGTCTTGGTCAATATCCTATACATATTCATGTACGTATGTATGTATGTATCTGTCATTGTGCACTAATTTACTTTTATCTCCTTTTTCTCTATAAGTTCGTTGATGAAACGTGTTCTTGGTGCTTTTTTTGATTCTTTGAACCCTCACCTGCAGCAGCAGCAACAGCAGCAGCAGAAGGAGAAGCAAAGTGGCAAGAAATCAAAGGCAGAGGATATCGTGATCTACCTAAAGAAGTGCATTGCCAAAATTACAGTAAGAACCTGAACCCTGTAGCACCTAAATTGATTTCACTAAACGTACCATTTTCACAAACTCACATTTTCATCTGGCTGTAATTTTGATTGCCTTCAGAGGATTCTCACAATCTTGAGCTCTATTGAAAGCTCTGAGCAAGACAAACGCAGCCATACCCAGTTCGTAATAGAGAAAGTCGTAGGGGTAACGCCGCAGCGCGATGCAAGCGCTCCAATGACAGACCTACGAGCGCCGCACTAAATTCTCAGCCATTTCAACTATTTTGATCGCAGAACGGTCAGTATTTTTGCAGGAGAGAGCTGAAAAATGCAGCTGCAAAATGACGTGTGTCATGTATGAATGCGTGAGCAGCGAGTAGGGGAAACCCCCTTGCACGCGTTTCAATTTCATGCTGGTGCGAGCTGACTTATGCCAGCAAATTTTGTTCGAGTGTCATAACTCTGCTCCAGGACCTCAGATCGTCTTCAGGTTTTTCTTTGAGCCGACAGCTGAGGCCTTCCTGATACGAATAGACCTTTCGATCGTTGAATTCGGACAAGGATTGACCGAATGGCGAAAGTTTGAAGTCGCATCAGCATGCACTGTACAGTCTGACGGATTAATCCGTCCTATCGGTGTTAAAGGGTTAACAGCATTCCCCCTGAAGTTGCAATTTTGATGTAGCGCCGCAGGAAGCGTTAGTTTCGAAGTCTGAAGAAAATGTTCTCTGCCGTGATGACCGTTGCACCATAGCTCAGTGGTTAGAGCATCGCTGGACCATGGCAAAAGTCCCCGTTTCGAGTCCCGGTGGTGACATTCAATGTATCAGGGGCGTCGCACACGGTACGGTCACTACGGTATTGACCGTACCACTATTTGCCTCAAGTACCCCGTGAATCAATAAGATGCACTGATTTGGGCTCCAAATTTCCAAAAAAAAGTCTCGGCTCAGTCATCCCTCCTCCACGAGTAAATTGTACTTCAGATGGCTGACCGTACCACACTGAAATCCCTTCCAACGCCCCTGATGTATTCTTCAGACTGTTTCCCTTCTGAACATCCTTGAATGATGATTATTCCAGGGGCAACACACACGGTACGACCTGTACAGCCATTAGAGTACCACTTTCCATGCTCTCGTGGAACCCTCCAATGTGGCCGCTGTAGAGTGCTAAACGTGCCCTGTTGGGCAAAAAGCCGGATTTTGTTGTGCATGTGTGTGTGTGTGAATGTGCGTGTGTATGAATCATGTCCATTTTGCATGTCCATGCGTACATTGCAGGTAGAAGCTCTTCTACTCAATCTGCTCAAGATGGGTTTTGATGTGCAGAGCATTCAGCCGACGGCAAACAAGAACGGTCCATATCACTATGCAGCCAATGCACGGCTCAAAGATATAATGCAGCTGCTGATCGAGCACGGCATTCAGGGCATCGAGTCACTGGATGACACCGGCCACATGCCTGTGGAGAAGATGCTCAAGATACTGCTGGATCCACAGGCTGTGGCTGTAGATGACATGCTGGTCGTTGATCAAATTGCCTCACTCCTCATTGACAGTATGACGGGCAAGGTGTAAGTATTACAGGAATGGCTTGCTTGCACTCAAACCGAAAGTTCGACTTGCTAATAGAGGCAGGGGCGTCTGACACGCTATGGTCACTACCGTGTTGACCATCGTACCACTCTAAGCTCAGTTACCCTGGGAATCAATAAAACGCACTGGTTTGGGCTCCAAATTTCGGAATTTTTCAGTGGAGCCCTCCCCCCCCCCCCCCCCACAATCCAACAAGTAAACTGTAGTTCAGGTGGCTGACAATGTATCTTGAAAATCAGGTTTCTATTCAAGACAGGCTTTAGTACAAGACACTACGGTAGCACTCGTAAGCAGTTCCGTTGACTCTCGCTTCATACATAGTGCCCACAAGCTGTTCCGCTGACTCACCACCAAGATATCATACTCACCACCATGACATCACACTCACCACCATGACATCATACTCACCACCATGACATCATACTCATCGCCATGACATCATACTAACCACAATGTCACCATTCGGATAGTCTCTATACTCTCTAATACTGGCAGTATGCTACCTAAGCTGTACCACACAGCGCTCTGTCATTTGACTTGTTATGGGTAATTTTCATGAGCACAGGACCTACAGGGGGCATTAGGCCATGGTAAAAAATAAAGTTGATTCTCAGGTCATGAGCCTGTGAAAATTGGTGCGAGAGAGCGATTTTTTATTTTATTTCCCACAATTTTTTATTTCCAAAGATAGGGTCACACATATGTACATGGTCACATGTTCATATATTCAGGCCAGGGAGTAGAAAAATACCGGTATTTTACTACTCTCTGATTCATGCCTTTCGCATTGACCGTTTTCATGCGCGCATATGCATGCATAGATATAAAAAACATCGTCGGTGCGCCGCCAAAAATCGGTGCGCGTGTACTTGAGAATCAAAGATAATTTTTACCATGGCTTTACCTACATGACTTGCCAAGGATATTCCTCTGGTCACTTGACAAAGGGTATTTCCCTGCATCCCGTCAGAAGAAGTTCAATTCCTGCAGACTTCCCGTCTAGTTTATCTATTTGCAGCAGTGGGAGCTAGAGAGCACTCTCACCATGGGCATGACAGCAATATGGGCACTAACCTCTCAAGTTTTGTTTTTCTTTTGCTACTCTTGCTGATGGCGCCAATCACTCTCAGTGCTGTTACTGCTGCTGTTGCTGCTGCTGTTACTGCTGCTGTTGCTGCTGCTGTTGCTGCTGTTGCTGTTTCTGCTCTTGTTGCTGCTGTTGTTGCTGCTGTTGTTGCTGGTGCTGCTGTTGCTTCTGCTGTTGTTGCTGTTGTTGCTGCTGTTGCTGCTGTTGCTGCGGCTGCAGTTGCTGCTGCTGCTGCTGCTGTTTCTGTGGCTGGTCCTGCTACTGCTGTTGCTGCTGCTGCTGTTTCTGCTGCTGCTGCTGTTTCTGCTGCTGCTGCTGCTGCTGTTTCTGCTACTGTTTTTGCTGCTGCTATGCTGCTGACGCCACCGTTGCCACTGCTCCTGCTGTTCCCTCTTCCAGTGTGCGCAATTTGTTTCAGGGAGTGTCGTACTGGCGAGAAGTACCGTCAGATGTTTGTCATCTTCTCGATTTGGACGAGCAGGTGTTGGACAATCACACTCTCCCAGTGTATAACTTTTACCTGTTGCTGACAATGAAGGCCGGCAAGGGCAGTTCAGAGCATAGGGCAAGGGCACCTGTAAGTGAATGGTTATAGGTACAGTGTAGCAGTAAACGAACTAACCAACCAAAAGAGGGATGAAATAGGCTGCCAAGTGAGCATTGGAGACATAAAAACCAAGCTGACAGTTTCGGTGGTGGAATGGGGCAAGTTTGATTGGGAATAAAGAAGGAAGGGAGCGCCTTAGCTTCCTCGGACCAAGACCATTCCACTCATTAGGGATGTCAGCGAACGCACTGCGCAGGCCTCTGCGCATGCATTGCGTCATCGATTTTTTGAACGTGATCGCGGCCGACAGAGAAAACATGGCCGCGGTCTGATTGCACCTCTGGGAGTCGTAAAATTACTGTTCTTCTGTCCCCGCAACCATTCAAATCATACGCGATACTCGAGGACCCACGTACTCACCACGTTCTCCCTGGTCGATTTCTCTGAAAGTTTGCACATCGTGAAACACCAGTATGAGAGGTGTTCAGGCCAATTTTCAAGGAATTTCCCTGGTTGGATCGTTCCAAAATCGGACTTCCATTTCTCGCTCGCGGCCATTTCTTGCGCGATGGAAGCGCCCTGCCCTGGTGAGTAACCAGCATCGCGCTTGGTAGAGAGTTGCTGCAATCAGCTCTCTGATGTCTTCGCTGCCATTGTCAGAAGCGATGGACCATGAATTTGTTTGAGAGTCTCTGGATGCTACTATTCCTCCGCCTAGTTTTCAGCCATTCCGTGCATCTTCTTCGCACGATTTATTTTGCAAAAAAATGAAAGTGTTGATGAGTTTTCTTGTCGGCCGCGCGTAGATGGGCCAGGCTGACCTGCGCAGATGGGCTGCGCAGTGCGTTCGCTGATATCCCTACACTCATCACCCGGAAGACTATGAGTAGTCACATTTTGATTCGAGACCTTACCGTCTCTTTACAGGGATTGTCCGTGTTTGGAGGGGGGGAGGGGCTTGAACACCCAATTGATGATTCTGTTGTTTCTATCTTCTGCTTGTTGCCCGGGTGATGATGATCGTTAAAACATTGATATGCTGGCTTTCGTCGTCCTGGTGATGCTGGTGAAAATGTCACATGCTGCAGCAAACCTGCGCATCCATTCTCAAGGGCTGCATGGTGCAAGATATGACCGCAAAGACCACGACGTTTGATCTGTCCATACTGGAGGCTGACAGTGAAGGACACCAGCCAGCCACAGTTGACTACAACCCGACAAATACTGTCTTCCAAGAAGTTCTCAAAAACAAGGTAGGGGGGGGGGGGTAGGATTACTAGGAACTAGGAAGAAATTATTTTCTCTGATTGTGTGCTGATTGTGTGCATGACAAGGGCAGCAGTGACCAGCAGTGTGGGTGAGAATTTCTCGTATCACCCCAGGCACCCTAGCGTCACCCCAGGCACCCTAGCATCACCCCAGGCACCCTAGCGTCACCCCAGGCACCCTAGCGTCACCCCAGGCACCCTAGCGTCACCCCAGGCACCCTAGCATCACCCCAGGCACCCTAGCGTCACCCCAGGCACCCTAGCGTCACCCCAGGCACCCTAGCATCACCCCAGGCACCCTAGCATCACCCCAGGCACCCTAGCGTCACCCCAGGCACCCTAGCGTCACCCCAGGCACCCTAGCGTCACCCCAGGCACCCTAGCATCACCCCAGGCACCCTAGCGTCACCCCAGGCACCCTAGCGTCACCCCAGGCACCCTAGCATCACCCCAGGCACCCTAGCATCACCCCAGGCACCCTAGCATCACCCCAGGCACCCTAGCGTCACCCGAGGCACCCTAGCATCACCTCAGGCACCCTAGCGTTACCCCAGGCACCCTAGCATCACCCCAGGCACCCTAGCGTCACCCTAGCATCACCCCAGGCACCCAAGTTGCTCTAGCCACTGGAGTGTGTTATCCCTGGTAGCCTAATAGGTAGGGCACTGTCCCGGAAAGACAGGGGTGCTGGGTTTGAGTACCGCTCATGGATCTTTCTTTTGCAACCTCTGGTTATCCTTGTAACCCTAGTAACCATGCAACCTCTGGTTATCCTTGTAACCCTAGTAACCATGCAACCTCTGGTTATCCTTGTAACCCTAGTAACCATGCAACCTCTGGTTATCCTTGTAACCCTAGTAACCATGCAACCTCTCGTTATCCTTGTAACCCTAGTAAGCATACAGTACACTGCACTATATTCTTTCTTATTGTGCCACGGGATTTTGATAGCCCAAGTTCAAGCTGAATTAGGCTGAAATCCCATCCCACCTTGAAAATCGAGAAAGCTAGGGCCTGATTTAGCCTGATTTAGCCTGATTTAGCCTGATTTAGCCTGATTTTTCATACATTTCCCATGGTTTACATGTACCTGGCCAAATTTCTAACTGCCTAGCCTTGGACTTGTCTGGCCTCTAATTTGGCGCGCGGGCGGGCGTGTGTGAGTGTGTGTGTGTGTGTGCGTCTGTGTTCATTTTCAGTCGTTGTCACTGTAGCTGTCAGGTTGTTGTTACAGTACAGCAGTCGTCCGTTCTGCTCCATTGTTTCATCTGTTTTGCCAGTTCTGCTAGCTGATTCTATTTATTTGCCACTGCCCCTCATAGTGCTCATGCTTGGGTGGAGGGCGGCGTGACCCGTTTAGGGTAGCTGTATCATAGTAGTAGTAGTGCATCTGTGTATTGTGTACATGTGTGTGTGTGTGTGTGTGTTCATTTGTGCATGTGTGTGTGTATATGTGTGTGTGTGTGTATATATGTGTGTCTGTGTGTTTCCTACACGTGTGTGTGTTTTGTTTATGTGTTCACTGATTATTGTATCCCTATCACACGTTCACAGGATTTGCGATCGACGGATCCAGCTCGTGTCCTGCTTCACCTGAAGTGGAATCTGTACGGCTGGAGCTACGCAATGGAGCGCGGCATCCTCTTCTTCCTGCTCGTGCTCACGTACAGCTTTGCGTTCTTTGCTGCGGCTCACGAGCGTGTGTCTGGGTACGAGTCTCCGCAGCACATGCACGGCAACCCGCTCGAGTATCGCAGCTCTCTGAGCCACGCGCGTGCTGCGTGCGAAGTCATCATTATCCTGAACGCCTTCTTCAGCCTCTACATGCACATCACCAAGGTGATGCAGTAAGTAGGTTATCATTTTATTATTTTATTTATTTCCCCTTCCCGTGGCCAGGGAGTATAGGCCAATATGGAAGAAGGGGGGGGGGGGGGGCGATAGCCAGCCATGGCAGTAAGCAAAACAATGCAAAAAAATGAAAAAAGTGATGTCAGTCAGTAGAATGATGATGTCATTGCTGATGATGAGCAGTAGCCGATGATGTAATGGACAATGTCAGTCAGTATAACTGCTGATGTCATTCATGATGTCGGTCAGTGAATGATGATGTAAGTGTTGTGAACCCTCTGGTTCTCTAAAGTGTCAGGAACGAACGACCCCACACGGCACGAGGAGAACTATTTATTCTCAACAGTATATTTCACTTCCATCGACTAGTAATAATGAACAATGAATGAATGAATGAATGAATAACTAACACTAAAACCACCAGGTAGTTATAGCGTGAAAATGACAGCGTATATGAGAAAAGCATACACATACAACATACAACTACAGCGCATACAGCAAACCGCACATAGCGCATGTAGCGTATACTACGTCGTAATCATCAGCGGTACGGTGGAGTCGGGATACAACTGCATTGAAACGAACACAATGTCACAAGCGAGAAGGCCTTTCAATCTCGAGAACTTGTGGTTTCACAACAGTAAGTGATGATGTCATCATAATGACTTTCTAATGGCACCTGCATGTAACTGTGTCTTTGTGCCTCGC